TTAGAAATGACTTACAATTGGTTTGGAGATGAACTTTTCTTTAGAAAATCGCCCAAAAGTGTTTAGATTTTGAGATGGTTTGAAAAATGGATAAAAATGCGTCTAAGTCCCAATTAATTGGTCTCTGATGTCGCAATTGCTACCAGGGTTCGCAATTGCGAACTCCTTCAGGACCTGCTATCTTCGCAAATGTGAAGAATATGTTGCATTTGCGACCCTTGGAAAATCTACTAGCTTCGCATTTGCAATAAAAATGTCGCATTTGCGACTCTGGCCCTTCCGCATTTGCGATAAAATGGTCGCATTTGCGATCCAGGCCTGCCCAGGCCATCTTCGCAAATGCGATAAAACTTCGCATATGCGAGCTCGCATTTGCGAAGCCAGCAGACCTGCAACACACCAGCAATTTCCCAAGTCCAATTTCACTCCGTAGCCTATCCAAAACTCACCGGAGCCCTCGGGGCTCCAAACCAAACATGCACGCAAGTCCAAAAACATCATACGGACTTGCTCGTCCGATCAAATCATCAAAATAACATCAATAACTATGAATTTAGCATCAAAATCAAAGAAAAATCTCATGAACTCTTAAGTTCCATTTTTAACAACCAATGGTCCGATTACGTCATCTCAAGTCCGTTTCTTACCAAATTTTACAGGCTCAACTTAAATGTCATATAAGACCTGCACCGGCCTTCGGAACCAAAATACGGGCCCGATACCATCAAATTTCTAAAATTCTTATAATTTCAGTTAAACAATTTCTTTCAAAAATTCATTTCAAGGGCTTGGGACCTCGGAATTCAATTTCGGGCATACGCCCAAGTCCCATATTATCCTACGGACCCTCCGGGACGGTCAAATCATGGGTCCGGGTCTATTTACCCAAAATATTGACCGAAGTCAACTTAAATTCATTTTAGAAGTAAAATTTATTATTTTTCACAGATTTTCACATAATGGACTTCCGGATACACGCCCGGACTGTGCACGCAAATCGAGGTGAGAAAAAAAGAGGTTTTAAGGCCTCGGAACACAAAATTTATTTTCAAAACAAGTGTTCACTACCAGAAATATCTTTGTTCCTATGATGTTCCGAAACTTACCGAACAACGAATGTTACTATCTTAGGACCGTCATAGTTACGATAGTCGTTCACACCGAGGCGTTGGTCGTCAATTCTCTATCATCAAGTCACAAGCTTTCATGACCTTCTAACACTAGGCAAGCGTCAACCCTAGTACATGATCTTACAGATTTTACCTAATTATATTACATTTGTTATAGCATATTGATATACCAACAAATTTCAAGTACAACTAAGAGATAATGTCATCAAATTATATGTCTCAAAGTATTGAGATTCCTGGTATCTAACCAGTAAGTGCATGCTCCCATCTTTTCTTAGTTAGAGTTAACTTAGTTTATATACAGTAATTGTGTAAATAATTTTACACTATCAAAAAGTATGTTAACTGATTATAACATACTAATTAGTCGATTATTTATGTTATCAAATCAGAATATAAATAGTTATATGTTGTAATAGATCGATCGTCGTCAATGCACATAAATTAGACAACTAGTTATAGGTCCCAAGAAATAACCATTGCATCCTTTACACCTGGATTCACATTCTCTTTAAATATTTGGATATAACTTAGTATATTTAGTTCTATAATTAACAATTTGTAGTATATAATATTATCATGTACATATGTTGTTACACATACAATAGTTTTAATTCTGCACATTTATTTCGTTTGAATTATACATAAGTGTGTGTGTGTATATATATATATATATATATATATATATATATATATATATATATATATACCCACTTTTGGGGTCACCATTGAAGTTATACCCGTGTATGGGTCAGAATTCGACCCCACGATAATTAACGAAGCTAATCCCGTCTTAAGCTAATTCATGATTAATTAGTGGCACGACCACTCAGAATTAACGATATTCAACCCGCATCTGATTCGATCAGCAAGGCCATGGCCCATCCGCCACCATGAAGGCGAAATCCCAACGTGGTCACGGCCACTTATTGCCAGCTCACGAAGCTCACAACTATAATACCAAGAGAGGAAAGCCTAGAAAGGGGGGCTTCTTCTTCACCACTATTGAGAGAGAAAAAAGAGACAACGATACCCAAATTATGGGCAAGAGGAACACCATTGTAAGGCTCTGAACCTCTTCATGGAGAGGCAGACCAAACCAATATTATCAATAAAGGCTTCTAACGTTTCTCCCCCTAACCCTGAGTACTTATTTTCGTTTCCTTTAGTTGGTCCAATGGATTATTACGGTTTGCTATGATTTTTCCGTGATTTATTTATATTGTTTTATACTCTTAAGGTATGTAATAACTTTTGAGCAAATAATTTGGCGCCATCTGTGGGGGATTTCCTAGCAAAATCGCGTAGTTCTTCCCTGGACCAAAAGGAAAGAAACGCCAAACTCAAAGGGGAACTCGAAGATCTCAAATCAAGATCTAATTCCTCTCTCTCTCTCCAATCTCAGATAGTGCAAACAAAAAGAAGAAGCCCCCCTCCTAAGGGAAGGCCTCTGTAAGGCATCTCCCACATCCCTGATACGAGCTCCGGCCAGAAACCGGCACGGAGATATCTCGAGCCGAGAGTCGCCTCAAGACAGCCTATATACCCTGGTTGGGAAGACAACGGATGAGCCGCTCAAGGTCTCGAATCCAAACCGAGCTTCAGCACTCAATACCCACAATATGGGACTCAGGCCATGAGCCTTCGTCATCAAGATCGACAAAGTTTAACAACAGTTGAACTGGGACTCAGGCCATGAGCCTTCGTCATCAAGATCGACAAAGTTTAACAACAGTTGAACTGGGACTCAGGCCATGAGCCTTCGCCATCAAGATCGACAAAGTTCAACAACAGTTGAGCTGGGATTCAGGCTATGCGCCTTCGCCAGTAAGTTCAACTACGGTTGAACCAAGATTCAGGCTATGCGCCTTCACCAGTAAGTTCAACTACGGTTGAACCAAGATTCAGGCTATGCGCCTTCACCAGTAACTTCAACTACGGTTGAACTAAGATTCAGGCTAAGCGCCTTCGTCATTAAATCAAGGCTATGCGCCTTCGCCAGTAAGTTCAACTACGGTTGAACCAAGATTCAGGCTATGCGCCTTCACCAGTAAGTTCAACTACGGTTGAACCAAGATTCAGGCTATGTGCCTTCACCAGTAAGTTCAACTATGGTTGAACCAAGATTCAGACCATGAGCCTTCGCCATCAAAATTGACAGTTCAACTGGGACTCGAGCTACGCGCCTTCACCATCAAAAATCGACCAAGTTCAACAGCAATTGGACTGGGACTCAGGCTACGCGCCCTCGCCATCAAAATTGACAGTTCAACAACAGTTGAACTGGGGCTCAGGCTGCGCGCCTTCGCCATCAAAATCGACCAAGCTCAACAACAGTTGAACTGGGACTCAGGCCATGAGCCTTCGCCATCAAAATCGACTAAGTTCAACAACAGTTGAACTGGGGCTCAAGCTATACGCCTCCGCCATTAAATCAAGGCTATGCGCCTTCGCCAAGAAGTTCAAATACAATTGAACCAGGACTCGGACCAAGCGCCTTCATCATTGAACTCAGCGAAACCCAACCTCCAACGAATCGAGGCGCAGGTTAGGCGCCCTCGCCCTTCAAGTAAGTACTCCCAACTCAAACTAAGATTGGGGACACGTAAAGTCCGGCCCCGATCAAACTACAGGGCCGCGTTTCTGTCATCACGGCCGATAGTTCGACCGCGCCCGAACTGGAACTAAGGCTAAGTGCCGCTATCGCCAAGCAACGGCTCCGACTCGCTCACCCCGAGTCGAAGAAGAAGAGTCGTCAGCAATTAAAAACTAACATGCCTACCAGAGTCGAACTCGAAGGGAAATCACCCCTTCGAGCGCATGCAAAGAAATATCTAAAGGGGAAAAAGAGGAGGTACAAAACAGATACAAGGCAAATAACGGAACGGAGATCTCATTTATCCACGAAATTAATTGCGGGTCATCCCCGCTTACACCCGGCCAAGGCCGATTAATACAAGGAAAGAGAAAAAGAGAAGAAAAAAAAATGCATAACATCTTTTTACTCGGCGCCATTTGCGCCACCATCTGCACCAGCGTCAGCCTCTGGCATCGCCGCGTCAAAACCACAGTCGGCACGGGCCTCACGAGCCTTTTGATGCGCCTCCTCGAAAGCAGCTTCGGTCACGACGCCGGCCTCCCACAAATTCTTATATATATATATATATCACGTTGGGCCTCGGCAATGAACCAAAGTTCTCGAGCCTGGCTGGAAGAAGCGGCTTGATCCCGTAGGCGCTGATTCTCTTCTTCTAAGGCTGTGATCCGGTCCACCATGACTTGGGCGTCCTGCTCAAAGACACCGATCCGCTCCTCGAGACTCGCTTCTCTAAAGGCCGCAGTAGCCCTCTCCAACGCCCGTTGGGACTCGTGCATGCGGATAGCTTCCGTCAATGCCCCAGCCCTCGACGAGGCATCCCTCACCTGAAGCTTCAATACCGCGACTTCACCCTCCAACGCAGTCACTTTCTCGCTCCACGCCGCAGCGGCCTCCGCCGCCTTAGCCTGGCCCTGGCGCTCACACTCAGCTGCAGCCCTCCTCCCCGCCTTGAGCTCCTCATCCTTCCGCCGGAGCTGCTCCTTGAGAGCACTCGCTCTGCCAAGTGCTTGCTGCATCTGTACCTCCCGCCTCGCCAGTTCCTCGACCAAGGTCCGACTACGGGGATCATTCCTCAAGCGCACGCGCATCTCTCGGCACCGATCTCGGTAGCGGTGGTACTTCTCCAGCACCCGCAAAAATATCCCCGAGCGGACGTTGGCTCGACGGATGCTCTCCACCTCCAACAAATAAGACTGCAAAGCAAAGACAACGATTAAGATAAAAGAACAAACTAAGGAAAAGAAGAAGCGAACCGACATTATATTACATACCCTCAATCCCATCGCAGCCACTTCGTTCATCAGTCCGACATCCGTGACACCCCTCAATGACGCGTTCTCGGCCTCCGAGCAGAGCAGCTCAAACTGCGGGACCAAGCTACTCCCCTGGAGCAATAAGTTCAACTCGTGGGAACCTCAATGAAGCGAGATCGCCCCTTTGCGCGCACCGCTGAATTGGTGAAGCCTTCCTGGAACATACGGATGTCGTCGGGGTCCAAGTCGGATTCAGACTCGTACTCACCCTCTACAGCATCTCTTCCTCCTTCAGCCGCCGGCGAGGTGGAATCTCCCGCCGCAGCCGCCAAAGGAGCGCTTAGCTCACCAACATTACCAGCCGCTGAGGAACTACCTCCCGTCTCAGCCACTGGAACCACCGACTGAGTCACCGAAGTGACGGCATCCTCATGGCCTAAGCCAGCCAGGGCAACCCCCATTGACTGTTCACCCTCAAGAGCAGGCGCCGCGACCGCACCCCTCTCCGCATCCGTCGGAGGAGAGTCCAAATTGATTACCACAGGAGGAGCCGGCGAGAACACAACCCTACGCCTTATCAAGGGCCTCTCCTCCTCCCCGTCTGATGATGATTCCGCCCTAGGGCGCACAACCCCCGATGGCCCCTCGTCCCGAAGTGCGGCTCGTGCTGGAGAAGGAACCGCTAAAGATTCAACTGATGCCGCCCTCGGTATTGAGCGCGACACAGGCGCAGCAGTAAGTCGAGCGACTGCACCCGGCCGACGGAAGGCCAACTGAGGGGCCCTGACGCGGCGTGCCCTCCCTGATCACAGAAAAACAAAGTTGAGGAATAGTGTCGAAACAAAGCGGAACAGAAGAAGAAGTCAATTTTTCTTACCCGCCACAGGTCTACGGCCATGCCTCTCCCAAAAGACGCCCATGTGCGTATCCCCACCGTATGAGGGAGCACGGCCTCGACCCATCCGCGAATCCCAGCTAACGGAGCCGGCGGCGATTTTTCGGCTACAAAATTGACACGAGTTAACGTTTATGAGCACAAGACGTAAGGAGGGGCAGAAAAGGGAATTCGACGATTAGAAAACTTACGTGCATGATTCCAAGCCTCTGGGAACCCAGTAGAGCACGCCACTAAATGTTCAGTCCTGATGTAGAAGAAGTGCTCAAAAGGGCGAGGGTCGACCTCATCATCCAGTTTTGCAGTCAGGCCCCTCGACCCACGAGGGCACGCTTGAATCATGGTACCGCGAACCCTCTGGGGAGCGTAGAGACTAAGCACATGCTGCAGCGTGACCTCCCTACCGGCCAGTTCTGCATATTTGATAAACATAGCTAGCAATTTGTAAAGAGAAGGAGCAAGCTGACCCGGGCACACCCCATAATAACGACAGAAATCAACCACCAGCATTGGGAGCGGGAGCTTAAACCCCAACTTGAAGGGGTAGGCGTAAAAGACGCAGTATCCCCTACGGTCGGTGTGGACCCTCTCCTCGCTTCTAGCGAGAATGACGTCAGCATAGCCGGGGATGACCCCCTGTCCCCGTAGTCGGGACATCCCAATCTCCCCCATTAATGGGGCTTCATCCACCTGATCCTCCCCACCATCGGCGGTGAAATCAGTCATCGGACCTCCGGGCAGAGGTACTATCTCGTCAACCGACGGAGCTTCACCGGTCTCCACCAGTTCTGCATCGCCCATTGCCGGAAATGGCCCCTCGGTCACCGGTGAGTTAACCGGAAGGTCCGTCGGAAGAACATTTTGGGAAGGAATGCCTGCCATTGTTGATATAATAACGAGAAAGAAACAAGGTTTGGGGGACGAAGGTGAAACAGCAGTAAGAAAAGCTTCTTCAGAATCTCTCTCAGACAAACAATGAGAATATAAAAAATGAATGCCTCAGCCTTTATTTATAGGCAACGCAAGTGGCCTTCATGCACCCCAACAGCCACCATTAACTACATGACCAACCGCACACCGGTTCGATTCCATAGGAATGTGCGTCATTATGACAGGCTCCATAAAGCAGCCTTGCAATCACCAATCGGCGTCTCGCCCTCGAAATGGTTATTACGACCTATGAATGCCGAGGAGATGCTCCTTGCGCCCTAGAAATTTTTTGACATCGCCAAACACGTATCAAGCGTGCCCTAACTCTCCTCGGCCGCACAACACATGACCCGTCCGCCATGGTCGACGGGTATGCATCCAAAACAAACGTAAGGATCAGAGCACAATGAAGCTCGACCTTACTCGAAGTAAGTTAAAAGGTCAAGCGCCTTCGCTAAGGAGGAGAGTTCGACCTCGATCGAACGATGACTTGATAGCACAATAACAGAATACTAATACTCTACAAGGCTAAGGGCCATCGCCAAAGAGAATTCGGCCTCGACCAAAGCAACAGTCGACCTCCCCATCCGAGTTTCTCAAACTACAGTCGATGGAATCCACTCATCGAGCTCGGCCAAGGCCCGACCTCAATAAGCGGAGGGACTAACTGTATGGGTCAGAATCCGAACCCACGATAATTAACGAAGCTAAACCCGTCTTAAGCTAATTCATGATTAATTAGTGGCATGACCACTCAGAATTAACGATATTCAACCCGCATCTGATTCGATCAGCAAGGCCATGGCCCATCCGCCACCATGAAGGCGAAATCCCAACGTGGTTACGGCCACTTATTGCCAGCTCACGAAGCTCACAGCTATAAATACCAAGAGAGGAAACCCTAGAAAGGGGGGCTTCTTCTTCGCCACTATTGAGAGAGAAAAAAGAGACAACGATACCCAAATTATGGGCAAGAGGAACACCATTGTAAGGCTCTGAACCTCTTCATGGAGAGGCAGACCAAACCAATATTATCAATAAAGGCTTCAAATGTTTCTCCCCCTAACCCTGAGTACTTATTTTCGTTTCCTTCAGTTGGTCCAATGGATTATTACGGTTTGCTATGATTTTTCCGTAATTTATTTATATTGTTTTATACTCTTAAGGTATGTGATAACTTTTGAGCAAACAACCCGCATTGCGCAAAATTTTACAAAATGTACCAGCTCGGATCGGAAGTAGTTCAATCCCTTCAATGCAACTTCAGAAATCAAATATGAATTCCTCTATCTCTTAAATGCAACTTCAGAAATTCAAATCTGAAGTAGTTCAGTCCCTTCAATAAAACTTCAGAAATCAAATTTGAAGACAAAAGTTCTTCTATCTTTCAATTGCAACTTTAGAAATTTGAATCTTGAGTAGTTCAATCTATTAAATACAGATTCAAATCTTAAATTCTGAACATAAATCGTTCTTCGAATTTCAACAATCGAATACACAATTCAATCCCCAAATCTATTTCAAATAAGCTCAAATTTGAAACTTAACTTTAAGATAACATAAAAAATAAATCTCAACCATCAAATATTCAAAAACAATTTTAACATACCCATTTTGCAACTAAGAAGAACAAGAAAAAACTCTAAACACAAATAAGAAGAAAACAACAGTAAATTAGAAAAGAAAAGTGTATGTATCTGAAGTTATCCAAAAATTGAATATCAATTAATTTTTTTTTTAAAAGTGAGTACGAATTCAATCGGTGGCGCAAAACTGAGTGACACGTGAAAATTTTACGAATTATACACGTATTATATATCCGCCTGCTATTAATTTAAGAGATCGAATGGATGGTTATTTATGTTATTTCTTCAAATATTACTGTCCACTAATGTTGGCCCAATTTAGAGAGTTGGTGCCCAAACTCTCCTTACAAATCAAATATCACAATAACCAAAATAAGAATTTATGAATAGTTAATGATTGAAAATGCAATTATTTTTGAAAAATAAGAAAAATAAATAATAAGACCCTGTGATTCGATTTAAATATAATTTTTTTTAAAAGGTACATAAATGAAATGGTACCTAACATGATTTAGGTAACATACGTGCCCAAAAAAAGTAGTCATTCGTATTCTAATTTAGCAGGGAATTTGTAATCTTTAACTTCTTTTATCGTTTCTTTGTCACACTAACAAGAAAATAAACACATGAGTTCCTCATTGCCACGAATTTTCCCCCCCTCATATTACTGAAAAGAAGAGAGAAGACGTGTCCAAATTTGAATTCGAATTATGGATAAAGCACTCTCAAATAAAAGCTCTACAAGAGTATGAATTTGAATTCAAATTCGGCTTCGTACCTAAAGTTCGAACCGAAAATCTCTCGTTAAGAATAAAGAAGTACTCTCTCCGATCCGCTTTAATTAATTTTTAGTTGTTTTCAGACATATTAAGAAATTCATCTTTTAGCATTAACTAACGATGAAATTGACCATATTAACCTTAATTTATTTATAAAAATTATAACAAATACTCCTAAGTTTTTTACTCTAAGGACTAAGGGTAACTTTGAAAAAAAAAATTAATTCCTTCTTGATATCTGAAAAAATTAAATATTATGAACCATAAAAATGGCCAAAAAAATAATTAAAGTGAGTATTTATTATTCCACCACAATACGTGTCGGTGAATCTTGATTGTCAATTTTATAATCCACGACGTTATCTAGTCTATTCTGTATCGCTATCTTCGTCGGTGTCCAGAGGACATTATCAAATCCAAAAAGATGATTTATAAATAACACAAAGATGTCCAAGGTGAACAAGGAAAACATACCAAGGGGGATGAATGCCTTAATGAAAATAAAATGGAATTAGGATCCAAGTGGATTAGGTTACGAGCTCCTCACGGTTTACTCATTTGACCTTAAACTAGGGTCATTTTTTATTTTGTAATATTTTCTTCTTTAATCGCTCCAGATTTTGATCTTTTTTTTTAATTTAAAATTAGTCCCGCATTAATATTTGAATTAGTCAAATAAAATTATTATATATTTATTTACCCTTAAAATAAAAAATAGTTGAATTTGTACGCGGTTTAAAGGATACGTGGTTTAATTTAACACGAACGATCGAAGAACAATAAGTAATTCAATTAAAAGGAGATAAAACGATCAAACCAAACGTGATGAAGTAACTAAGCCTGGGGTTGAGTTTAAATGCTAGAGATCGGTTCCAGTTGAGCCCCCGGAATAGAGCTCGATTGCAAATAAATAGATAAATAGCTGAAGAACACTTGAACAATTGCTATAAGCCAGAAACAAACTTTATTTCTTTGATATACGTGCCAATAATAATGTGTCAAAAATAACAAGGTTCCCCTCTTTATATATTAGAGTAGTTATTCGCCTTAATACAAGTCTAAATAAGGTAAAAATCTTTCCCTTCCTTTTTTTCCCAAGAAAACATGATCCACAGTTAATACCGGGCGGATTCGTGCCGCAATATCCAGCTGATAGCGGATATTCCGACTCCGCGTTTGCCCTCTTTAGCCATCGTTCCTTTACCCTCGATTCTTTATTTCATTCGAGCTTGATTCTTCCTGGGTTCGACCATGCTCGGTTCCCGACGTATTATTCGTCTGCCCCCGGTTCCGATCTGTGGGCACCTTCGGTGCCATTCGAGCTGGTAATGAATAACGTTTTTCCTCGCTTCTTCCACGAAAAATCGGGGATAACTCTATCCCCGATTTTACCCGTACAAAAATAGTCCCCTCACTTCTCGGAGAGTAAATTATAGGAGTGATGAGAATTGACTAATTGACCTTGGTTCCTTCCCTCGCACACCATAAGAAAGTTGACGAACCAAAACATCCCATCAGTCACGTCGCTCGATTTCGGACACGCGTTAGCCGGCAGTTGATCATCCTCGACAGTTAACGAATGTGAAACGTCATGCATTTCTTATTCTATCCCTATAAAAGCTCTGGTTCTTGTTTTCACTTTTTTACTTTCTGATTTCAAACTTTCTTGAGTTACCCTCGAGTTTTTCATCGTTTCATCAACCCTTCAAATCTTCATAACCTATTCTTCACATCTTCATATCTCCATATTCCATCTTCAAATCTTCATACAAATCTTCAAACCTTCATATCGAACCTCCAAACCTTCATATTCTCAGATAGGAATGGCTAAGACTTCGAAATAAGTACCCTAAAGCACTGCACCAACCACTTCTTCCTCGGCCACCGCGCAGGGATGAATCGAAAAAGAAATCTTTATTGGTTCTACCTCCTATTTTTTATGAAGAGAATGAATCTTTTTCTCGAAGGATCAGAAAAAAATGGGTCCGGATCTCCTGCGGGAATGATTTGGAAGATCCAAAACCAAAAATAGTGGTATTTGCTAGCAACAACATAATGGAGGCAGTCACTCAATATAGATTGATCCGAAATCTGATTCAAATCCAATATAGTACCTATGGGTACATAAGAAATGTATTGAATCGATTCTTTTTAATGAATAGATCCGATCGCAACTTCGAATATGGAATTCAAAGGGATCAAATAGGAAAGGATATTTCTTAGATTCATGGACCCAATTCAATTCAGTGGGATCCTTCATTCACATTTTTTTCCACCAAGAACGTTTTCTAAAACTCTTTGACCCCCGAATTTGGAGTATCCTACTTTCACGCAATTCACAGGGTTCAACAAGCAATCGATATTTCACGATCAAGGGTGTAATACTCTTTGTAGTAGCGGTCCTTATATATCGTATTAACAATCGAAATATGGTCGAAAGAAAAAATCTCTATTTGATAGGGCTTCTTCCTATACCTATGAATTCCATTGGACCCAGAAATGATACATTGGAAGAATCCGTTGGGTCTTCCAATATCAATAGGCAGCGCCTCCTATTGTAGCCCCGGGACCTCCCCTTACAGATTTC